GGCCAATGTGCGAAAAAACCTGGAAAAAAGGAAGCCAAAGAAATGCTGAAATTTGGATAAAACACTGCTCATCCAAACCATCCCACATCAGGCAGTGCTCCTGTTTCTCCCCAGACCCAGATTTGACCCAGAACTTGGAGAAGAGCAATTAGTGTGCCTCTGCAGCTTATCATTTCATTAGACAACATAGATCCAGCTATCAGGTTTCCTTCCAGCCATGCAAGACCAATGGTCCAGCAACCACAGCTACAGAAATTCCACGGATCAACCAAATATCCCAATTCACTGCACACCTTCGTACTCTGTTTCCCTGCACACCTTGCTGGATCAAACACAGGCTGCAATAAGCTGTGCCTAACTCTGCTATTGCCCAGGCTGTGCAAAGAGAGAGGTTTGCCTCTAGCTGCAATTCTAGGAGCCATATTTTAAGAAGTATTGGTAAAATGAAATAAAAAAAAAATAATAAAAGTTGGGCACCAAAGTAAAGAAGTGAAGCAAATTTCTCAAAGCAAGGGGTTGATGCTCAGTGAGGAGATCTGGATTCCTGCTGGGGCACAGGACAATGGAGCAGTAAATCCTGCCTCTGCAGCACTTCAGAAGGGCACAAGAATTACAGTGACATGCAGCAGAGTCAACTTCTCGTGCCCACTCAGCACACCCCCCGAGTTCCTGGTGCCCACCCTGCTGATGACACCTGTACCCCCACCAGGCAGCCCCAGGGGAGTCTGCAGCTCGTTGTGGAGCCTGGAGAGAGGGGATGGGCAGCAAGGGGATGGGCTGGGGGACTGCCAGACCTGGGGACACTGCTGCCATTGCAGTGGTGGGGACACCAGTGACAGTGCAGGTGCCAGCACTGCACTGTGGCAGTGTCTGCTCATGCCCACTCAGGCGGGCACTGGCTCACAAGGGAGTTAAGGAAGAGAAGAGCACCTGCAGTGGCTTTCACAACAGCTTGGGAAGGGAATGCTCAGCCATGGGGAGGGAAATACAGCTCCAAAGACCAGATAAAAGAGTTTTAATAAAAGCAGCAACTTATTTTACCTGTGCATTTCACGCAGGTTGTTGGCATTACCTACTTTGGCAAATCAATGTCACCTTTTACATCCTTTCCTTCCGTAATTCGCTCTTTGTTCTATCAACCCAAACCCAATATTGAAACTCACACCCCTCCATGGAATTACAGGGTCTGTCATCTCCCCACACCACCACACAACTAATTCCTCCCCCCCACACCCCAGCTCCCAGGACCTTCCAAAACAAAGCACTGGAGAGAGTGGACTCTACCAGTGCCCCAAGCAGAAAGAAGCCATGGACCACTCACGTCGCGTTCTCCACGTTCCGTCCCCGAGGAACACTGAGGATAACAACCCCAATGCTTATGGTGAAGAACCACAGCTTGTAGAAGGTCATCTTGCAGAAGAATCTGAATGCAGGTTTCACCTGGTAAAGGACTAGAAACACGACGAACAGGCAGGTGAATGGGTAGTGAAGGAGGAAAAGCTCCATCCTTCCAGCCCGGAGCGTGCTCACCGAGCAGGGAACGAGTCACCAGCTCCCGGTGCTGTGGAGCAGAGTTGAGACTCCCTGGATCAGCTCCATGTGGGTGGTGCACAGCTGGAAGGAGGTTTGGGAGCGATGCTGCAGCGGGGCTGTGCTCCCTGCTCAGAGCTCAGCTCGCCGTGGGAAGCCGGTTTAGCAAGGACACGCCGGCAGCTCCGAGTAGGAGTTGGGTGGCAGGAGGGGCAAACACGCAATAGCAAAGCTGCCTGGGGGCAAGGGCTGGGTGAATCTGGGCTGGAATGTGCCTGGAGAGCCAGCCCCCCTTCTGGGGGGCTCTGGGCATAGGAACCCTGAGGACTTTTAAGAAAATCTCTAGTGGGAGGGAGCGGGATGTGTGGGACAGCAGAGACCCTGCCCAGAGGCACTGTGGGTTTAGATGGGATATTGGGAAGAAATTCATCCCTGTGAGGGTGGGGAGGCCCTGGCACTGGTTGCCCAGAGAAGCTGTGGCTGCCTCTGGATTCCTGAAAGTGTCCAAGGCCAGGCTGGATGGGGCTTGGAGCAACCTGGTCTAGTGGAAGGTGTCCCTGCCCATGGCAGGGGGTGGAATGAGGTGAACTTTAATGTCTCATCCAACCCAAACCATTCCATGACTTTGTGATTCTATGACCCCAGGCTGTCTTACCTGAGCTTCACCAAGTGAGCTGGCTGCAAGATGTCCAGGAAATTAGAAACTACTGTTATGGAGGAGACACAAAGGGAAAACCAGTGATGCAAGCACCACACATCCAGGCATCGGAAGGACCAAGCTGAGCAACTGGACATTCTGCATGTAGAGTGGGAAAAGTGGGAAAAGTGCCACAAATCTGGACCAGAAGATAAACAAAGCAAGGGCAGCTCCTCCAAAGGTTTTCATGGCCAGAGGCAGGCAGATGTTCAGGCAGCATCTGCATAAGGAGGGAGTGAAGCAGGAAAATGCAGGTTTAACCTGGGACTGCTCCAACTACATTCCATCTCCTAAAACCACTGCCTGAGAAGGGTCTTTGCAATGGATGGAACGACTGGGCTGAAAAAGAAACCTTGTGTGATTCATCATCTGCATGACAGGCCTTGCTCTAGCACTTCAGAGGAGCAACAATATTAAATAATTGATATTTAATGACATTGAATTCCAGCCAGGACTGAAAGCTGCAGATTCTAAAAAGGAAATGCTCCGAGGACCCATGAAACCATGTTGACCATCACCTGCAACCTAAAGAACAAGGTCAAACCCCCCAGGACAATAAACTGGGCAAGAAACATGATAATAAAAAAGGCATTGCCTGTGCCCTCTGCTCCTGTGGCTAATCCAGGGACCATTCTTCTCCTGTCTTTCATGGACAAACTGGAGAGGAGTGACTGCAGCCTCACTGCTCAGCTCTCCCAGGGCTTCCCTGCAACCACAGCAGAGGCAGCCAAAGGTTTTCCCACAGCCTCTGCACTGTCCCTGCCCCAGCACATGGAAAAGACAAACATCCCGCATCCCACATGGGATCATGGCACCAGGACCCTCTGTACTGGTGCTGCAGAGACCAGCTCCTTTTGGAATTGGTTTATAGAGACCAACCACAGCTGCTTTGGGCTTCTCCAAGGTCTGATCCAGCAAACAGTTCCCTTCCTAATGCCTGTTAACCTCTCCTATATCTCATCAGTATAAATGATGGCCTTTTGCAGTTGAGGGAAGGTTCATCCTGGCTCATCCTGACTTGCCAGGAGAGAGGTTCCTAAAATGTAACCCCAGTGAAAGGAGTGCAGTGACTGTCCTGCAGGGATGGATGTGGCTCCCAAACCAAGCCATGTTCAGGTTCCTGCTGCAGGAAAACCTCTGGCACAACCCTGCACTCCCAAACCCACCCAGAATGTCTATGGACAAGGGAGTGTGTGAGTTCACAAACCACTGAAAAGCTTTATTTTAAGTCACTGACAGAAATTCTCAAAGACTTTCACAAAATCACAGAATCATTAAGGTTGGAAAAGACCTCCAGGATCATCGAGTCCAACCTGTGACCAATCCCCACTTTGTCAACCAGCCCAGAGCACTGAGTGCCACCTCCTGTTGTCCCTTGGACACCCACAGGGATGGGGACTCCACCACCTCCCTGGCCAGCCCATTCCAGTACCTGACAACCCTTTCCATGAAGAAATTTTCCCAATATCCAACCTGACTCTCCCCTGGTGCAGCTTGAGGCCATTTCTTCTCATCCTGTCCCTTGTTCCTTGGGAGCAGAGCCTGTCCCCACCCCTGGCTCCCCCCTCCTGTCAGGGAGTTGGAGGGAGCAAAGATCTGTGATCTGGGGCTTCCAAGAGCTGGTGAGTGTCTCTGATGGGAAAAGCCAAGGGCACAAAGCAATAATAAAAACTGTGCCATTCCCAATTCACCACGGAGAGATCGTGAGCTCAGGTCTGACACAACATTTAGGCTCCAAGGCCACAGACACCAAAATCCTCAGCTGTAATTTTGCTCTGTCGCAAACATCCCCAGCACCTGGATCCACCCCACTTCCACTTCAAAAGCAGGCAGCTCTTGCCTAACCTGCAAGGTGTTTTCTGAAACTCCAGCTCTAACGTAGTTCCCAGTTCCCAGAATAAGTGTGTCCATTCCCAGTTAACTCCCTTTTGCCCCTGGGTCTTTGCACCTTTTCCACAATCTGGTTTAAGTGAAGCTGAGATAGGGAGAGGAGGGACTTGCTCATACCCTGAGCTTTCATCACTCAGCTTTAATGACTCTCCTACTCTCCAGCTCTGCTCAGCCACACATTGGCCAGAAGAGAGAGGAGGAGGCAGGGAAAGGGATCTAATCTGATGGGAAAAGGCAAAGAAAATTGTCTTGTTCACCATAAGCAAATGAAGGCTCAAAACAAAATGTCCCTGGGAGAAGGTGCTGAGCGGGATGGACTCGGGATGGACATCCAGCTTTGAGCTGCAACAGCTGCAGGTGGGAAAGAAAGTGAATGAGAGGCCCTGACAGAGCCTGGAGGGAGAATTGCACTTCTGAAATCTTCAGCAGAGGCTGAGAAGGACAAACAATCCCACCCCAGCTCCTGCAGGAAGAATCCCCCACCTCAGCAGCTCCACCAGCCCGGGCAGGCACGTGCCGGGCATCCCGTGGCACAGCCCCCCTCCTGCTGTACCAGCATTTCATGGCTTTGATCAGGCAGTTTGATCAAGTTGATAAACCAGATCAAAGTGCCCAGATCTCATCTTAAAACCAGGAAAATTGGCTCCCTGTGCTTCATGCACACAGAGGGATTGGGGGGGGGGGTTTGAGCCACTTCCTCCCCCACAGGGGAGATGCTGAAGTCAGCAGGTAATAAGTGAGACTTTCTCTGTCCCTGAGGGGCTGAGCAGACACAGGTGGGTGTTATTTGACAACTGAGAGGGGAAAACCAAAGCTGGAGAGCCCAGGACACCCCCCACACAGTCGGGCACCCCACACCCATCACTGTCGACTCCCTCGTAGCTCCGGCACCAGGAGCTCACCCAGGAGACAGAGGGGACTTCTGCCCACTCCAGGGCATGGCTGGTGCCTTTTGCTTTCCAAACGTGCCCTGGATGGTGTTTCCCAGCCTACACCACCCTCAGCCCCTCCACCCTGACCGGCAGCAGTTGGTCTCCATCCCTCTTCTTCCTCTTCAAGGTTCTCACAGAGAATCCTCCCATTTTGGGAATGATAAGGAGGAATTGTTGCCAAGTATTTGTTGGAACTGCCTCCTGCCCCGGCCCTTCCATAGTTCCATGTCACACAGGAGGTGGGATCAGAGATTTCTGCAAGAAATTCTTTCTTTCATTAGCAAAACACATGTTCTGGAGCTGTCTTTTCCCAACATTCCCATAGAAATCCTACCACCATCCTCCACTCACCTGTGGCTACTACACCTCTTACAAAGTGCAAGGAACATTCTGGCCTCAGCCCAAAACTGCAGTTTATTGAGCAATAACAGGAATATAACAGGCTATAGAGGGAGGAGAAAGTGGGTTTCATCCCTTTCAGGAAAAGATATTGAGAGGACAAAGCTGGAGCGAAACCAGAGTAGCTTTTACTTTCTTGTATGTTTAGATTGTTCTTATCTTTGCCAGGACACATCCCACCTGCTCCATAGCCCAGGGATAAGTCACTCTGGCTCCTGCCAAGCTGCAGGAATAATTTGTCACAGATTTCTGTCTTAATGCCTTGGGCATTCTGGACTAAGGGCACAAAAATGATGAGAAAACAGCTCTCTCCACATGGACAATTCCTTAATTCCATATTGGAGCAAAACCTGACAAGCCTGGTTTGGGGTGAAGGACAGCTGCTTCTGCTTCCCTCAGGGGCACCCTGACATCAGGAGATTTTCTCTGGAAACTAAAGGATGTCTTATTTTAAACAACAAAAAAAAAATGGAGAGCAAGAATCAGCTGCCATTCCAATGCCCTGGATAATTCTGGTGGGGGGTTGCAAAATTTGAAAGGAGGGTCCAAACCATGTGCTGGTAAACCAGTGTGTGGTTCTGTGGACCAAAGCAGCAGCTGGTGCGATTTGGAATCAGCCTCTGGAGAACTCATTTCACTTGGCTTTGTGATATCGAGTGATTTCCCAGGTCTGGGAT